TAAATGTAATAATTCTTTAATATATTACTTGTGTGGTGTAGAAGAGAATTATTTATGTAGAGATACTGCTTGCAAACCAATGATGGTAAGATGATGTCATGGGGTAGGACTGGATAAGTCTGACTTCTTCCTACTCCGTTCAAGCATGTACTAGGTATAAGCAAATTGATAATGCATTTGTGGATTTGTGTGAAATTATGTGTGTTGACATATTGACTGTCGTTACATGTTTGAAAGAATAAATCAAATCAAATCAAGTAGATTCTTTAATTCTTTCTATTTTGAAAATGACATTCATGCACTCTTCAGGCATGCTGATGACAAACATGTGTAATGCAAACAGATGGCTCTGTATTGACCCAGTTTCACTGTGCTTACCTTCACCCAAGCAAAATCATGATGGCTGTTGTTTCGGACTCTTCACTTAAACCTACTGACCACTGAACAGCGGGGGCCTATAAAACAGATATATGGGTTTCAAATTGCGTAAATCCAACATTTTCTCATCCTGCCTGATATTAAAATTTACATTCATTATTATTATTTTTACATCTTAAATGTAATCCAAAAATGCCACTGAGATTAAGCTTTACAAGCAAGTCCACCTTTTTACATAAAAAAAGACACCGTTCTTCTGTCCTATTTAGTGTCATGCCCTTTTAAAAGCCTGATAGTGAAAGTATACCTTTCACTAATGTGCTTGTAGAGAGGAAAAACCGGTGTTAACGAAAACAAGGGAAGGAGCTGGTTATGTCCAGTTTACCTGAATTCACAACACATGTTTAGCTACTGGTTAAATACACCGCCTTTTAATTTGATTAGATCAGCTTTTTTCATTAACGCAACAATAACATCTATCAAGGCAGTCAAGCCCTTTGTTACTTTGCCCTCCAACAGCTAGCGAGCACGCACCTAGCTCAAAACAAAATACGTTTAAGCTTATTTATGGCATTAAAGCAGTTGTACTCATTGTACTTTCGTCGTTGTTAAATATAACACAATGAAAATAAGCCACAGTACCTTCAGTATGAAACAACCTCAACCGCAGGAGACGCCTGAGCCGCCTGTTTCGGTAGCTCGCAGAAAACAGGTGATCATGTGATACCACGTGATCATGTGACACCACGTAATGTGACTGGACTGCTGGGTGAGTTTGTGTTTAGAATTGTGGGAACTGTAGTTCTTTGTGCTTATAGGCCCACTCGTGCACGAAGGGGGAGTTTCGTTAATTCACTTAGGAGGAGCAAATCCCTTGTTTATGGTAGAGGAAGTAATGCATTCAAAATCCTACTTAAGTAAAATTATGAAAGTATAATCAGGAAAACATACTTAAAGTAGCAAGTGTCACTGACTGATATAATTGGGTCAATTAACTAAATAACAACAATGATGCACTCCCTTTTGAAGTTATTTTATATACCATTAGTTCAATTTAGAATAAAGCATCGTGGTTTAAAAATTCTTCACTTTATATCCAAAAACCCATGCAAGTTTTTAATAACTGTAATGAGTTAAAAAGTACAGTATTTAGATCTGAACTGTTGTGAAGTAAAAGGTTAACACTACTATATCAGTTTCATGAGGTTTTGGTATTTGATATAATTAGTTAAATGTTTGATAAACACCAGCCCAGTACTGCACTGAGAAATAAATCAAGGCCAGTTAAACAACAGGGCAAAGCCAGCCAATCCCCAAGAACCCTAAAGACCCTGATTCAGTGTGTTATTCAGATTACTGTATAATGATTAATAGCAGGTTTGATTGCAAATGCACAGATAAACTGAAATGATTAGGGCCAGACCCTGTACAAATAAAAACACTGTTTTTGTAGAGGGTCTCTGAGTAAAAATTTAAAGGGCCCATAGCTGGGTTAATCTAATCATGCTGCCGACTCACTCATAAATCTGAATAACTGAATCAACGTCTCTAGTCAGTGATGAACTGTAGCAGAATGAAAACTATGAAAGATTATTCATCCTATAGTAAGTTTTAAGATGATACTAACATTAAGGTCATTATTACAGTGATATAAAACTCAGTTGGAATAAGCAAGATGTAGACACAATCACATAAAGGTGGATAAACTTAGCAGATCATTATTCTATACTGATTTATTGTTTTTTAGTAAGGTACATGACCAATTATCAATTATTTCATGACATAGAAGCCAAGAGCAATGTTTCACAAGTATGAGCTGACTGAACTCCACATTCCTAAATACCATTTGTGCCCCACAGTCTTAATGATGAACAAATTCATACACTGGGACATGACATCTGAATGAATGACAAGTTCGTGTTCACATTCAGTTCGCCCACTCATCTTTAGTAACCACACAAACACTTGTACAGGGATCTAATACAAAGCCTTTTTATGAAACAAATATGAAAAATGGGGTGTCTGATTTGGGGCTGTGGTGGAACTGAAAAATAACTTCACAGGAGGAATTCATACAACGTGTAGCTATTGCTTCTGTGTACTGACTTTAATTCTGTTTGGCTAGTGTGTTTGTTAAAAGGGATTGATTGAGAGGCTGCTGCTCAGCGACCAATTAGACTGAAAAAGACAAACCCTACTCTCAAAAACAGTGAATACAAGGGAGCTCCCAGAAGAAGAGGGAACTTAATTATTGGATGATTGATTAGTTCAGATGAACAAACCATGATAGTGAATTGATTATCTGACTGACAAATGCCTGTTAATACTGAAAAGCCCAATAACTAAAAACTCAGTGCCAGACTAATCTTGAAATCCAAACAGTAGCTTACTAAAGTGCTAGGAGTCCACCGTTAACAAAAGTCACATTTTCTACAAGCTTTCACAAAGCAACAGCGATTTCAACTCGCATGTCAACGTAATGCACCAAGTAACATTAGCCCAGTGACAGTTTCTTGATGTTTTATACTGAGCAGCAGATGAACATGCACATTTAGGAGGACACCAATGCACAGCCAACAGCTGATTCCACATATATAAGAAAAGAGGAGACATTAGCTCATCGGTCAGTAGAGGGAGAAAAGATATCCTGTACAGTTTAGCAGGGGGAGCCTGTTCAGTGAAATGTTAAAAAAAAAAAAAAAGGTAACCTGAAATTAGTGTTCAGTGGTAACAATCATCCCAACTGGGACAAAAATGAACTTGTGATGAAATGCAAATCAAGAAAATGTCTAAATATTGAGCTCTTCTCTAAAAGGTGGAATGGAGCAGACAGAGAATACACCAAGTAAAGCATAAAGCTCCTCTTTAACTACTGCTTTCATTGTGTAGTTCTCCCAGCAGGAGCCACTCTATTTGGTGACAGCGTGGATTGCCTGTGCCAGGTAGCCCACGTTCCCAGAGGTCACGCCTGCCATGGAAATTCGGCCATCCTTGGTCATGTACACTGAAAACTCCTTTGTCAAACGCTCAACCTGCAGGAGAAATTTATATTATCCTAAAGGAATTGTTTGACATTTTGGAAAATGAAGATATTTGCTTTCTTGATGACGGATTAATACGATCAATATCAACCTCATATTGTACAGTTAATATGAAGCTACAGCCAGCAACTGGTTACATTAGCTTAACAAAAAAAGGATCTCCCATTAACAACAACTTACCATTTTACAGGGACATGTGCCAGATTATTTTTTGGCTCCGAGCAGTCGCCAAACAACCATAAGTAAACCTCAATGATTAATTTTTTTTTTCTTTTTTGTGGCTCTCTACTACCACAAGTAAAAAATGTGTGTGTGAGTACCTGTTCGGATTTGAGGCCTGTGAAGCAGAACATCCCGATCTGGTCGACGATGTGCTGCCAGCTGTGGCTGGAGCCCTCTTTTTTCAGGCCGGCCACCAGATGTTCTCTCATTCTAATGATGCGGGTAGCCATATCATGAACCTCCTCCAGCCTGAGATCAGTGACGGCAGAGTAAAACACATCATGAAGGACAGTTGAGAACTTATCTAAACCAGTCTGGTGCATATAAAAGATGGCGTCTTGAATCTGTTTTTACAAAAATCCATAGATTTGGTTCAAGCAATGAACAATGTGTATATGTATATACATTGTGCAGATTATACAGAGTCATAAAGGTCTCTAGTTTTAAGTACTGTTTTTTTAATCCCTATTTATCTCATTTCAATGAACATTCCTGTGTTGTCTGCATTGTTTACTGTCTGTTTATACTGATTTTTCTGCATTGTTTGCACTGTTTGTTGATGCTAATACTGCTATTTTGTTATATTACACAGCCTTATGCTGGTTTACTGTTTTGCACATTGAGAGCCGATGTACCCGAGTTAAATTCCTCATGTGTCCATCACACCTGGCCAATAAAGCTGATTCTGATTCTGATGTCAGAGGTTACGTTAACATTACTGAGACTTTTGTGATAAAAAAAAAAAAACTGAAGGCTTTCCATCATTTTGACAGATTAGAACACAGAGGGTGATCCACACCAACTTAAAATTAGGCTATGACATTGATAAACCAGGTGAAAAAATAGGAAACGATGAGATCCACTCAGCACACCTCACTCTCTGGGAGCTCACAGTGCCTCAAAGAGCCACAGACTGGAGGGCCATGGAGCGAGTCAGTGACCATTACAGGTCGCAGAGGGGATTCCTCCTGGTGGATTGAGTGCTCCAGGATCAGGAAATCCCACATTCAGAGCAACTTCTAATTACTTCCCAAGAGAAATGTTGCCTGACTTCAAAACTTTGGCTGAAGTGAAGCTGACAAGTCCAGTCTCCAGAATGGCAGCAAAGCATGGTTTAGCTTTCAGGTCAAAATTATAAGGGCCATGAGAAACCTGATGGCAACTGCCTCTGCAGCAGGCTAGGCTGCAGCAGGTCAGCTGAGTCCAATTCAGTTAGCTTAAATTCATGCTCATATTTTAATTGTAATTGTCTAATTTTGTAAAATTGCAATGTTCATATTTTCTTGTTAACGCACAATGGCGGCAGTGTTTTCAGTGGCCTCTGCTGTCACTGCCGGGAAATAAAGTCATCTTCATGACATCTGCTTCATGTGGTGTTGACATGAAAACTGGCTGCACATAAGCTTGTTCTGTTAATTATTTGAAAAATGAATGAAAATTAAATGCTATTAAATGTCTTCTCTTTAAAAAATAAAAATTACATTGACGGTCAATAATAGATTATGACAGAATTTTTATGACCCTGTATTGAAAGATAAGGAAAAACTAGCATGACTATGGTATATATGCATCTATAATCACATACCACAGTGTACGCAGATCTGGTGTGTTGAGAATGGTTGTTACAATTCTGGCGCCATTTATTGGTGGGTTGGAGTACATGGGTCTGATGAGGATTTTAAGCTGAGATTCCACTCTCTTTGCCTCGTCAGCATCGCTACACAGCACAGTGAAGCCTCCCACACGTTCACCTGTGAACATCAACATGCACTGAGTGTTACAGTGATTTACAGTCAATCTGACCAACCTCTGCTGTGAAACAGGACAAGTGTGATGATAATGAGCCAAGACTCAAGACTTGTACTACACAGCCTTATGGTGGTATATTGTCTACTTGCCCCTTGCTGTTACCTTGCATGGGGATATGTACGTGCACATTGAGAGCCGCTGTACCAGAGTCAAATTCCTCATGTCCAGCACACCTGGCCAATAAAGCTGATTCTGATTAACTCCGTAAACCAAGAGTTGTGAAGAGAGGTTCTTGAATTTCTTTGTTCATCCTGATGGCAATGAATACATTAAATGCACCAACATAAAGAAAAAAAGATCCATCATCTGTGGCAGCAGCAGGGCCAATAATTTTACTCACCCAGAGCAAAACCATTGTATGGCTTACCTGCCTGTCAACCGACTTCCTTCTTGCTCACATTCTATACTTGGGAGTCAATGCATGACCCAAGAGTCTCCTCCAAGGTATTGCCATTGCAGGCGGATGTGTTACCGCTCCGTTTTGATGGCTAAATTTAACAAGCTATGACACAGAAGGTACTCACAGCTTTCATTCCCAAACAGAGACCACTGTTACAGGCCAGGGCCCGTATTCACAAAGCTTCCTAAGCCTAAAAGTTGCTCCTAGTGACGAACAGCTCCGGTACAAATCCTTAAGAGTAGAGAGGAGGACTTTTAAGTGGCTTAAGAGTTCCTCTAGTAGTGGACAAAATGGTGGAAAGAAGAAATATTCTCGAACCAATGAACGACCGTGAGTTAAATGCTACAGATTGGATCATGATGGAATTATGTTTGTGGTTGACCTTATTAGAGATGCGCTCACATCTCCCACCACTCATAGTAATGCCATAACGCCAGAAATCAAAGTGATTACAACGCTGAGGTATTTGGCAACCGGAAAAATGCAACAGTGCAGCAGCGATGACTTGTGTCTGTCACAACCTTCCATCAGCAGAGTGATCGCACAAACTATTGAAGCGCTTTAACAGTCTCATATAGTGACACGGTCTATTTCATTTCTACTGGACGTTCACACTCTGCAGACTCACAAAAGGGCATTCATGGACATAGCGAGTTTCCCCGGTGTTGTTGGTGCAATTGATGGGACGCACATTCGCATAATCGCACCATCGGAAAATGAAGACGTTTTTGTGAACAGAAAGAGGTACCACAGCATCAACATGGTTTTAATTAACTTGAAGATATTTAGCCTATAACAGAAACTTTGCATAAAGTAGCCTGTATTCATGATTTTATATCTATATATCTATATATATAGATAGATATATATATTTATTTATATACAAACATTATGATTTCACTGTCCATCATATTATCATATATTCTCTTTTCACAAAGACCGTGACAAATTCTTTATCAACCAATCACAGTCCATGATTTGCGGCGTCATCCCTAGCAACAGGGTCAACGACACCTCCTCACTAAGATAAAAGTTTTTGTACTTTCCTTGCTCAGAGTTGCTCTGAGAAGTTTCCTAAATCACTTTTAGTCTAGGACTCCCAGCTAGGACTTTTTAGGCTAAGATAGGAGCTCTCTGAGAGAATTCTAAGATGCTTTGTGAATACGGGCCCAGGTCTTCTCCTTTAAGACAAATAACCTCATGGGCAAAGTCGTTGCCAGAAGGTGCAGTGTGAGGAGTAAGAGCGAGAAGACCACTGAAAAGTGACATCATGGTGGTCGTATTTCTGCTGGACAGGTAATTATTGCTTTTGTTTTGTCTAGGGGGGCATTTGTTATTTTCCTGAAATCATCAGTAGTCAGGCAGTGTGCGCTGCAGCGTGCGTTGTGTTTTGGTGGAGTGGCTTTGGAGAGAAGTCAGAATAAAAGGGTGAGATTTCTTCTTTCTTGTCTACTTTCAAAATCAAGCTTCCTCTTGCCGTTTTTTTCAGGATCACCAACCCTACCTTTAAGCATGCAAGTAGCTGTACTGACCAGTTAAGTGGAAAAGAACTAATTTGTCACATTTTATTATAATTAGTGCTTTGAATAAATTATGGACCACCATCAAGCTTTTACCACTGCATGATGGTACAACACAAGCTAAAGATGACCCAATCAGTCACTTTGTAGATTTTTTTTTTAAGACATGCACTCAGTCACCACCGAGTACATGCAGTATCAATATCAACAGTATCAATATTCTGAAAAGACCCCATTGAGAGCCGGCTGAATATAACCATGGGTTTTATATTGGACTAACTGACCATAGAGTCCCATGTTCTTGGCAAAGGACTGGGACAGCAGGATGTTGTGGCCCTTTTCAATGAAGTAGCGCACAGCCCAGGCATCACGATCGATGTCTCCACTGGCAAAGCCCTGGTAGGCCATATCAAAGAACACCAGCAGGTTCCTTTTCTGTAAGGTGAGAAAATAAGGAAGGAGGACACCAAAGAGAGACACAGAGACGAGGTGTTTATAATGTTTCAAGTGATAATAGTTGGGTAAAGTATAGTACTTATCAATTGTGGCTTTTGAACTGTGAATGATCTTTTGATTGAGCCAAAGGAAAATGTAGTTGCATTTTATCAGAATGCAGCTGCCAAGGTTTCACAGACCTGTTTGACTGATAAATACTCACCTTCACAACATCAGAAATCTCCTTCCACTGCTCAGGCCTGGGGTCCACACCGGTGGGGTTGTGAGCACAAGCATGCAACAAGATCACACTCTGCTCTGGCATTTTCTGTAGCATGAGAAAAGGTTTTAGTTAGTCAATCTACAATACCATGTATAGTACAAGCTCTTTCAGGTGACACTGTTTTCAGTGCAGCACGGGCAACTGTAAATAAATGAATAAATATAAGAATAACAACAACAATAATAATAATGTTCATTGTCTACACACACACATCCCTTGCCCGTTCCAAGCTAGTCCTTATTAATGTCTTACAGAGATGTCCTCAATAGCTCCTTTGAAGTCCAAGCCACAGGTGGAAGGGTCGTAATATCGGTATGCTTTGAGCTGCATGCCAGCGTCTCTGAAGATGGGTGTGTGGTTTCCCCAGGAGGGCTTGGGCAGGTACACGTCATGTGGACCTCCATGGAATCGAGCCTGTGACAAAGGAAAGACCTGGTGAGATAACCAGGCTGACCTAAATATTAGTTTGTACTTGGTGACCAACAGAAGAGGACCTAACCAAGAAGCTGGCTCCAATACGTAGAGATCCGGTTCCTGAAATGGACTGGACAGTGACGCTCTGTGGGGAGAAGAGAACTGCTGATTTGGACTTAAACTTGACTGCCACAACTGATTTGAACTTCATTTACCCAACTTACCCTGCCACTCTTCAAGTCCTCATTGTTTTCACCAAAAGCCAGCTGAGCACAGGCCTTGTTAAACTCTCCGAGGCCACCAATGGGAAGGTACTCCTTATCAAGCTGCTTAGCTGCAATCATAGCTTCTGCCTAGAAGGAAGATGTGAAAACCAAAGGTATAAAACTGATGTGACAACTGTGACTGGTATTCCCATAAAGCATCATGGTTTAATTAGCATTAGGCATGTGACAATACATTTACCTCATGAAATGCGATGATACACGATACTGGGTTCACAAGAACAAGACGATATTTTAACACTATTTTTAAGAAATCAATATTGAAATATAAGACTGGAAAAACTGAAAGTCACAAAATGCAACACACTGCATTTAATTAATCGCCTTATAATGAATTTCACCTCATTTCTACTTTGAGTATGAATGCAGTAAAAGACAGAACAATATGCAGCACTGTAAAACTCGACTGGCTTCTCTCCTGTATGATTTCACACGAGTCTCTTCAGACCTTATAACTGTGCATGAACTGTGCATGAGCTTCTAACTTCTAATTCTAAATCCATCAACGCCAACACACTGGTGGTAGAATTGGTGCTAAGGTAGTGTAGGCTACGTTAGCAGCATGGCTAACCAAAACAACAGAAACTCACAGGCTGGAAACGTGAATGAAGTCACTCATGTCGACTCATTACAATGTGGCCGTATCATGTCAACAACACTCCCCCCGCAACCCCTCACCCCCCAACCAATGCTGCCCCGTGCGTTAAAACACAGCAGGGAGTTGCGTTTTTGCACACGTTTGAGTGTGAATGTATCATCTCAGTCCGTCATACTGGCTTCTGCTCCTGTTCTGTTATGGACCAATATTGCGATACAGCTTTCGCCATGACAAGAAAGTCACATTTTAATATCACACTCCTAGTTAGCATTTATTAGGTTCAAAACAAATGCACACACTTTTTTCATGGTGGAAAAACAGAAATTATCCTAATTATTAACACTGCACCTCAAAATTCACTGAATGTTAAATTGTTCAGAAATGCTGATATTCCACACTAAGTTTCTTCTCTCAGGAAATATATGACTCAGTGATATGATGCTTTCCTGGTGATCTCTTAATGGCATAGAGCAACTGACTGTGTGTGTGTGTGTGTGTGTGTGTGTCATGAGAAAACGCACTGTAGTACTAGAGGATTCACCAAAGGGCTCAGGAAGATTATACCTTGCGGACAGAGGTGAGCACGAAGGGCTTGCCTTGGTCATCCCTGTAGGCTCCTACTCCCACGTTCATCTTCTTCGGGTTGGTGTCCCTCTTGAAGGCCTCGGTCACCCCCAGGATGGGATCAGGGGGACCCATTTGCACTCCACCCCACCATGAGCTGCACAGACACCAAAGCAGGTGAAAAATGACAGACTATAAAACACTGTGAATCACATGCTATGGCCTTCACAGTCACAGGTGAACACCTGTGGGAGAGTCTCCACCACTATCATCAAAAAACCAAATGAGAGAATAGCTTTTGGAAGAATGGTGTTCATCTTCCAGTAGAGTTCACAGACTTATAGATTCAATAACACGGGGCACTGACATTGCTCTGGTGGCACGTGATGGCCCAACACCTTACTAACACACTACATTGTTACTGGATTTTTGACTATCATGTCATAGTGAGTTACTTCTAATACAGTATAACAATGTTACTGTAACTTTGAGTACTTTACACACACATTCTGTTGCACATCTCGTTGTTAAATGACAGTTGTTGCAAGGTGCCACCTTCACTGCACTGCTCACATACTATCTCAGGTTTCTTCAACTTCGTAAACCATCTAAACTTTGCAGCTAAATTTAGGACTGGGTGCTTTGTAAAGGGCAAGACAGATAAAAGCTTATAATGTTCAGACTGTGTCAGAGAGGTGCATTACTGAGGCTATAGTTTGTACTATAAATGTATGTACTTGCTGTTATTCCAACTCCTATACGTGAGTCTGTCTTATACAAGAGCAAATGCTATATACAGTTGAAGACTATGACAAGATCATTTTTTCATTGCACAAATATAATGAAATAATGAAAGTAATGTGACTAGAACTACCAAAATTGTACATTGTAGATTTTAAATTGAAAAAATGCCATTTTTACCCAATAGTCCATAATTACAATGTGAAAATATGTTTACAAAAATATTTGCAAGTTTATTAAAAAAAATCAAAAACTGAAACATACATCCAGCACAAGGCTGAAGTGGCTTCAGGACATGTCTGACTGTCCTGAATATGTCAGAACATAAATAGGGGAACAAAAAATACATGTGGTTGTAGTTATTTTCTTATGTAGGTTTATGCAAGATTATGTTGTACTTTAAAACTGTGAATCACAAAAGCAAAATGCTACATATAAGGAAACATTTGAGTTCAACTGTTCTCACTGTGCCTACAAACAGAACCTTTGAACAGCTGAACTTCAGGGTTTACACAAAAACAATGGCTGGCAGGTTATCAGTGATCAATAGACCAAAAACCAAAGATGGAAAGCAACTAAGTACATTTAGTCAAGTACTGTACTTAAGTACAGTTTTGATGTATGTGTACTTTACTTGAGTATTTTCATTTTCTGCTACTTCATACTTCAACTTCACTACATTTCAGAGAAAATGTTTACTTTGTACTCTACTTTTTTAAATCAACTTTTAGTTACTTTTTAGACTGAGATTAATAAAAAAAAAAAAGTATAAACAGAAGACTGTATTGATCCCTGGTGGGAAATTCTCAAGCTATCGAGCAGTATGTAAAGTACTTCAAATTATAAACATACAAGGTGGTTAACATTAGCTCCACCTTTACCAGCTACAACATTAAATGTGAAGCTCAAGATAATGCATTGATAATTATGTGTATGTTATCTGTATTGCTCAATGTTAATTTTGTGTAATTTTATATTGTTTGAGTATTGTGTAATGTAATGATTACTGTTTTTATTGGTGTTTTAACATTATATTGTGTTACATGCAGCCTACCTGGCACCTAAGAAAGTTTCATTATGCCCTACAGAAATGTATGGTAAAAATGACAATAAACCTATCTGAATTTGAATGTATAACCCAATAATATGATATACGCTGATGTGAACTGTACCGTTCTGTGTACTTTTGCTTTTAGTACTTTAAGTATATTAAGATGGTAATACTTTTACTTAAGTAACATTTTGAATGCATGACTTTCACTTAGAACAGAGTATTTTTACACTATGGTATTACTACGTTTGCTTAAATAAATAACCCGAGTAACTTCTTCCACCACTGCCAAAGACCCTTTCGGCAAGTTACAGGGCAGGACTGCTGGTCGTACAAAAGGTGTCTTGTTACTGTGACTGAACAAGAGAAAACTAGAAATTGTTAACAACCCACAGACAGAAATAAGATACCATAGGCTAGCAACGGGGCCTAAATTTTACACCTGCGAAGCTACAAGTAGAGACTGAACAAAAGTCAAATACACAAACGCGTACAAAACGTCAGACCAAAGTACCTACATTTAGAGAAGCTACATATGATTTTCTTAAATAAAAGCGCAGCAGGTTTAAATTAATTTGCCCTCCAAAGTTGCCTTACAGGACGCTAGCGACTATTTGAGCTTCACTGCTAGAAATTAGCCAATCAGCGATCAAGGGTGGAACACGATGGCCCAATCAGCGGTCAAAGGCGGAACACAATTGCCAATCAGCTCGCAGAGCTTCATTAAGACAACTCGATTAGCTCAAACTGTACAAGGAAGCCATCGCAATCGTGCAAATTCTTAAACACGTGCCCTTTAAACCCAAAACCAAGCAAATCCGCTGCAATTCTAGACGACAAAATATTAGGAATGTAGGACCAAACTTTGCAGGGGTGCAATTTTCTCCTTCACACCGGCGACAGCTCCACAGGAACTTGTGCTACCAACACATCACAACTTGTCGTTCATCCATAACTCTCAAGCTTCACTTATAGCAATACCAAAGGTTGCCCTCTAAGGTCAACTTGTGCTAATCAAAGTGGATGTCTGAAACAACAGATGTTGACCTGTTAAGTTGGAAGCTGGATGGAAGCTAACATCAGACAGCACAGCGGGGTCTATTTAACCCGACTTCTTTAGCACACCGGATAATTTGGTTAAGTAGCTAGGTTAATCATAAAGTAAAATTAGTGAGGCGTTAATATGAATTTAATGGCTGACATATGCGTTAACGTTAACCTTAAAATAAGAGTTTGTTAGTGGATCAAGCAAGCTAGCTACAAATCTAAGTTAAGGTGACATCCCACCGCTACATTTTCAAGACTTCATCTAGCGTTAGCTTGGTTAAACGTCTCTGTCCGTTAGGCTTGTGCGTATTGTGCCTTTTTACCTGCTGCGGGAGGACAGAACTCTTAAGGACGGAGAAATGTTCCCCAGACAAAGGATCACCTTGTTTGATTTCAGCAGGGCCATCGCTGTGCTGCGTTTGGGAATTAAACGTGGTATATCGTGACAGATGTGAAGGGCAGGCGCACGTAGGACGACGCTGCCTTCCGAGTACGTGCTGACGTCAGAACAGCAAACGGTGGTGTGCTCTAGTGCCGACGATATATCTATGATGCAGACAGCGGATCTAAGATTACTATAGCTAAGTAAAAGTACAAAAGTTCTAGCACAACAAATACTTAAAGCAATTATTATACAGAATGGTTAATTTCAGAATAATACACATTACTGATGCGTTAATGTGTACATCACTTTAAAGATGCAGCTGGTGTAGGCCGGGTCGGTTTAATTACTTCATATACTGCTGAGTAGCCTGTAATTTGCCCCACTGAGGAAAAATCTAATCACAAAACCTAATCTTAACTTGATACATCCAAATGTTTTAGCTGATTACGTTTTGTCATCTCAAGCTGCAAAATAACTATCTAGCAAAGCTTTAAAATAAACATAGTTGAGTAAAAAGTGTGTTTCTCTCTGAATTGTAGTGTTGAGTAAAAAGTGTGTTTCTCTCTGAACTGTAGTGAAATAAATGAGGTTTTCAACTAACTGTGACCCAGAGACCACATTCTGTCTACAAAGTAACCTAAGGACCACCTGAGTACTTTTTCCACTTCTATGAGTATCTGTGAACATGTTAACTGTTACAAGACAATGAAATTCAGATGCTAAATTGTAATTATCCCAGTACAGACAACACGTTATTCTTGACTGTAGGGGAATTAGGAACTACTGTCACTGATGTACATTTCTTGTGTGCCCCAGCCCCCGCGACCCCGTTCAGGCCTGAGCTGTATAGCCGGTGAGGTGAGTTGAGGTGAGGTGAGGTGGGGTGAGGTGAGGTGAGATGAGCCCCAGCAGTGGTACCTCCAACCTCCCACCAGATGGAGACATTTCTACATTTCACCTCACAAAGCTCACCGGCACACACCGGTTCCTGTGTAGCAGCTGAACAGCTTTTGAATTTTTCTTAACAAATGACATGAAGAATGACAAAGTGTGTAACATCTGAGAACCCACCCCAACCTGTTTTTTTTTTCTCATCTCAGGGTTTGTACTACTGTGTTTGCATGTCCATGTATATGCTGTCATTAGAATATGATCTAAATCTTTAAATATTTCTCAAGTTTGTTCTAGTCCTAAAACAAAACTGAAATCATTCTACATTTGTCGTTAAACTACAAAGAAACTAATGGTAGTTGAATATCTCCTGAAGAAGAGCAGTAAGAGGTTGAGCATCTGTGAAGCTAACAGCGGGAGCATTAAAATGAAAAAGTATAAGAGAGAAGTCTTACTGACTGTAATGCTGAGCGATGTTTCAGAGCTCAGCCTGTTTAAAACTCTTTGTGCAGTATGTATGTGTGTCCACAAGTGTGTGCACTTATTACAATTTAGTTTGTCTTTGGAAACGTGTTTTTCTTTGTGGTTGTTGTTCATCTCTTTGTTTGTTTTTGCCTACTTGTAATCTATTTGTCTTCTTATGGTTGTTTTGTGTTGCTTTATGAAAATTATTTGCTTCTTTATGATTGCTTTGCCTGTTGTTTTGAGTCATTTGGCATCTCTTTGTTGTGATTTTGTGTCTTTTAACTGAGAAGGAACAGTCACTTCACATCGGGGCACTGGGCTAGGGGTTACCAGTTCTCTCAGGCCCCTGGACCAGTGTGTGATTGGTAATTCATCCAGTCGATATTTCACACTGCACTGCATTTAGGCCTCTACATCAAGAATAAAACATTGATATATAGTTATACAAAAATAAGCATGTCAAAATGTCAACATAAAATATAATACATGCTAAACATACTAATCAGGAAAATCCTCCCTCTTTTTAATGTAATTATCTTTGATATGGGAGAAAAACTAAGGAAGGTTTTGAGCGCTCCTTTGGTTCAGCCTTTAATATCTACTGTCCAGTGTGTGAACTACTGATGTGCGATACCAATTATTTCCAATCCAATACCAAGTGAAATCCAGCCCGGTATTGCCAGCACCAGTATTGATACCAATACTTTGTGCAACAAAACAAGGGAAAAGTCACGGGTTCAGACAACAGAGACTGATGGAGGAGAGGAAATGGGCTATAAGGTGCATCTGTAAGGGCTTGCCACTTTTATTTACTGCAAATGGTGCCACCCTGCTCACCTAGTGTGAAGGGATGTTTCTGCAGCCCACATACTGAACTGCTGGCAGTGGGACTACGCCCATTATACATACTGTAGCTACAGGGACCCTTTACATGCCATCTTGGTTGTTCTTTAATTCCCTCCACTCTCTGAGAGACTCCCAAATGATAGTTTTTTTTTATTCTGAAGTGTCTCACACTTTACAGAGCAGTAGTTCATATATATCTATGATAGGCGCAAGGAGAAGTAGTTCCTATCAACTGGGCAGTATCCTGGATAGTGTAGTTACAATCTACTATGTCTCCTATTGGAGATAAACTATACTGCTTTTAAGTTCATTTCATCATATCAGGAAGTGATTAGACCATGTGTGTGCAGCTGTGCACAGGGTAAATAACAGAGGGAACCTCATCTGTCTGTGCTGCTCTCATGTCTTGTTTCTCTCCACTCACTGATGTGTGCGAAGGAATCAGAGCGGATGCAACTCTCTTTTTCCACATTGTCAGCAGTTAACAGCTTGTCTACAGCGCAGTGTTTTAGTGTGTGCCCTTGTGTATTCCCGTGTGTGTGTGTGTGTGTGTGTGTGTGTGTGTGTGTGTGCGCGCGCGCGCTCGTGTGCGTGTAACATTGAACATTTGCTACAAGGAGGTAAGCACTGTAAGAGCTGGTGTATGTGAAGGAGAGTGCTTTAAAGATAGTGAGTTTAATTAAAGATGAAAAAGCTGATGATTAATTGATGGAAGGTTGGTTGTTCCATGATGCTGAAATATGGGGGTGCACTGACTCGTTTTCCTATATAAAAACACAGTAAAGAAATCTGGGACAGCGTCCTTTAAAAAACGCCTTTTGTTTTTTCAGTCAACGATTAAAATTAAATAATCCATTTTTAATCTACAATAAAGATAAACTGTCATTCAGATAATATTTAGGTAATGTGTTAGGGAATGTGTTTTGTATAGTGAGGTGTAGAAGCTGAGGTGCATAAATTTGGATGTAATTTGTAAATTTCAAATATTTACAAGTGCAAATGTTTGATTGCCATGCTATGTTTCGTCATGTTGTGTTACGGCAGACTTGTATACAAGAGTGAAATAACCATACTGCTGTATTTTTGTTGTCCCTCTGCACGCTTAATCTCGGAGACTCTCCGCTATAAAATGTGGAGCAGCACACGTTTTTTTTCATCACACTTTATGTTACCAGGAGATTAGAAAGCGAAGCACTCTGGAGAGAACACTTCTATACTTGCATCTGAACTAGAGCGGTAATCTTCTCTGAAACCATGTGACATTCAGAGTGAGATGAAGTTATGTTTTTTACAAGGCACTGAGAGAAAACACTCAACCAGCCTTTCACCATAGCAGCGGCAACACAGTTGAAATGATCGCCCTAATGGCCGAGGTGTAACAGAGCATCATTTTGATGAAACTAATTATTTTTAATGCAAGTGAATAATTGGGGCCAAAGCTGTCATGCTATATTTATTCATTCTTGCAGTAATATCTTTAATAGAATAGTGCAAGCCTCATCAAATAAAACAAGCTCATATTAAATAGAAATAAATACGATAAATGAACAGATGCTCCATGAGCAAAAGTATTCTTTTTTAAATTCAGTAAGGGAGGAAAATATTATATATGGAATAAATGTAAAAATCTAAATGCATAATAAAATGGTAAGTCAAATAAATAAATACACATATACGTATTAGTCTAGTCGTTGCCATATATTACACTATGGAACTACAAGTAAAAAAAAATGCCTGGAATAGGAATATAAAGCTAACACAGCAGGACCATCAGTAAACTTTGTGCTTTCAGGAGCACTTTTGTTTTCACTCTAAGTGTTGTAGTGAAGTTATGGATCATGCACCAGGAGGTAGGAAGGAGGAGATAGTAGGGGAGGGTGGCGGGTGCCCAGGCAGGGAGGTCACAGCATAGAGTCTCGGCAGAGGACAATCTCCAGCTCAGTGCGGTACAGTTTCCCCCCGTCAGACAGCGACATGATGCTCTTCTTGTATCCCCCCAGTCCTGATGAGTCCACATCCTGCCAACATGCAGAGGGTTTAAAATAGAAAACATACCATCCATCACAAAGTTGTCTACAGACATTACAAGGACACAGTGGCAGGCCACATACTACATCCTGCTATTTCATTTTAGCTCTATATTTGGTAAGCAGAAAAGTAACTTGAACCGATATATAGCCTAACTATTCATTACCATTCTGTTCTTGTCACAGAGGTCCTTCAGCAAAGCATCCAGCTCCTGCTCATCGATGTACCCGTTACCATCCTGGTGGAAGAGACAAAGGAGGTCAAGGTCTGAATTATACAGACAAAACAGATTTAGCAAAACTACTTAAAGTAAAAACAAGATGGAAGGTCTACAGCCAAGCTAGTAACTCTGAGAGGTTGTACTTAGTCACAGCGGGACTTTGTGCTAAATGCTAACATTAGCCTGCCAACATGGGGTCATTGACAATGCTAACATACTGATACTTATACAGATACAATGTCTACTAGGTGGGCAGTATGCTAACATTTGAACAATTAGATGAGGTATCAGTAACTTTTCATTTATCTGTTCAATACATAAAGTTTTGGGCACATTAAGAATTCACCATGATCAGTGGCACCTGCAGCTGTAATCCTGTATGCACCGTGCATACATTTGTTAAATTTTTTGTTCTTTTTATGATTTTGCTCACTTTTTACACTAAAGCTTCTGGCAGTGATTGTACAATCAACAAATAGCATATATAAAGATATATAGGTTCATATTTATGCCCAAGGAGCTAATATAATATCACAGACCCCTAGAGAGGATCAAATCATTTCTACTCCCTAATGTGAGCCCTGCAGCTTGACAGCAGTGCACAAACTGACTTGACCTGCTGTAAGATCATCGGGACATGTGCAGGCTATTTTTTAAGCCTATTTATCATGGCTCATAAGCTGCATCCATTATTTTGTGGACTATTTATTGTGAGTGGATTTAGGTGTCAGATAGTGATTCTCACGGACAAGATTTACACTGCCATAGGCAGTTCTTGTGTGTACTCTGAAATATAATTTTGCAGGTGCCACTCAACTTGATGATGGCACTACAGGAAACATAAGATAATGTCCAATAATCAGTTATTACAGTTCATCTTGAGAGGAACATGGATGTGTTCACCAAGCTTTTTGGCAGCCCACTTGACAGTTTTCAAAACATTTCACTCAAAACCACAAATGTCAACCTCATGGCATTAGTGGAAGTGCAAGGGGATGTGCAGAGTCATTAAGAGTTATTCTTTGGGGGCCACAAATATCTCGCACAAACCTTTACCCATATGACATAGAGTAGATACAGCATGAACAGCACAAACAGAACCATGCTGTTTTCACCTTATCATAGAAGGTGAAGATGGAGTCAAATTCTGCAACTTTGAGCTTGATGCCCTGTGTAAAAGGAGAGAGAAGTAAAAAAAAAAATGGTTAGATGCTGATGGGTATTTCTAGAGAGCGGTAAAAGCCCCACCAGGTCCAGAACTGATATTAATCCATGCAGATTGCGATAACTGGGACTAGAGCTGAGTTAATCCTGATCTCACAGACTAATCCTCTGTCAGAAGGGAATTGTTGAGCTGCTCTCACAAGCCAACATATACAAACATGACAAAATGAATGTGGGGAGTCCTGTGTTGACTAACGCTGTGCTACAAATGTTGAATTCTGAGGCATCAACGTGGTAGTGGCTTGGTCTTCTCTCAGTAATGTCTTCTAGCTAAAATAGACATGAAACTGTGTAATAAGATATATTTATTTTAAGATTTGAATTGAAGATAAACGAACAGGATTTTAATTTGAATAATTTGAATTCAAATCAGTTTAATGGATGGCATGTTAAAAGTTACTGTATCTCTAAACATATAGTATAAGTATATAATGTTTTGAAAAGATTTTTAATTTTGGAAATACTTAATGTAACTAAACATGTATCTGTCAATGCCCCACATGTCCATTCAGTACTTTGATGACAAATAATCCTCTTAGTGACTCTGATAATGATGAATTGCATTGTTCTGAATCTCCAGTGTTTGACTTCTCTACATCTGAGGGACAGGATATGAATCTTGAGTTGCTCAGAACAAGGTTACATATGAATAAAATCTGAAGCAAACTGTGTGTTTGCAAATATAATCTTACCTGGAATTTCAGC